CGAGGAGGAGAGCATACATTTTGGAATTTTAAATTATATTTTAATAGGTTTTGCAGCTTCTCCTGATACTACACCAAAGTAATTAAGTAATATAAATATTAAAAAAACAAATTGCAATAAACTCTACATATTTCTGTTTTCTACAATGTGTCTACAATAAAAAACAGCATGCTATTTTCAGTGAAGTAACAGAAACTTTCTGTTTTCTTTCAAACCTCACTCTGTGAGATACCTCACTCGGTTTTCAGAGAACTGGGGTTACATTAGTAACCGAACATTTTTCTTTAATCTTACATTTATATCTTACAGCTTAAATCATGCTGACACACTTCTTTCATTACTACAGCAGCATTTCTTTATCATGTAGAAAAAACTAAGAAATACTGTTGAACTTGCCCGTCGTTATACTTTTGATGTTTCATGGTCAGGAATAATGTGTCAACGTGTAGACAGATGATCCCTGTGAGCTAACAGTTCATGTTTCAGACTGCCCTAAACTTTCATCTTCGTCAACATTTTTAGTCTTGGCTCTGTATGAAATCAAAAAGGGATTACTCCTGATGTGGTCCTCTCAGGCACAGAGCAGCCCCGCCCACCTGCTGTTTAAACGTTTTGTTTGCGATGGGCAGCCAATCACATACAGAGCTACTCTAGTTCTAAGAACACAGCTGAAAATATCATAATGGATGCTGCTTAATCCACAGTCATATTAATATTAGTCATATTAGGATACGTTCTCCTACAGCAACTTGTGCACAGTGTAAAGTGTCATGCCACTTTCTCTCGCTCCGTTTCCTCCAGCCTCTCTGTGCGCCTGTGTTTGACTACAGGAGTGGAGTGAGGTGCGTGGGATGTCGGGTCACCAGCTGCCGCTCAGCACTTCCTGCCATAAATAAATCGTACCATCTCCAGCACGCTGCCTGATCGTAGACTGTTCACTAGGTTGAGCACAGTTCTGCACATCTTACACCTCCTCTCTGTCTCCAGCCTCTACCTTCCTCCTCCTTCCACTCAGCTTTAGACTCTCCTCCTAGACCTTTCCCTTCATTTCCATTTGGACCAATCCATTTAACCCCCCCCCCTTCCTGGCAACTGGCCATGCTGTTTGGGTCACAGTGGCTGGATCTAACTTATCTCCTTGTCTGTCAGAGTAATCGAGGGGTGCAGCGATTGTTTTCAGTCGCATTAACCTTCATTTCTTGGGTCCACACAATAAAATTACATAAACAGAGAACAAAAGTCATATCAGCTGATCCAAAAGCAGGTATGTGTGCCCTGAATTGAAATCAGTACTACAGTTCACACGTAAGCTCGGTGTGCTTGGAGTTAAAGTGTAAAATGTACAAATTCCAAAAATATTTCACAACAATCCAAACTATAGCGACAAAAAAAAAAATCCCTATTCTTTGCAGCACAGGAATTTATAGGCACAGGTATTATGACTGCTCTTTGGCACAGTGATGGGAGTGTGTGGGTGTCTGAGGTCATTTGGAAAATGCGCTCCACAATTTTCATATCTAAAAACCAGGAAATAAATGAAAAAGGACTAACCCTGCGCTAAAATGCAGATGTAGACATTAACATATACTAAAACGTACCACATAATGTCACATTTACTATATAACAATATGGGAACTGATAGAAGCAGTCACCACCCCCCCACAAAGGCTCATGAAGATCAGTTATTTTATGAAATACATCAGCTGGTGCATGAATCTCTGCAGTAGTCTCTAGAATGAAAAGGAAATTAGAGAGGACTTACCCTGGCATCTAGGTTGAAAGCGGTCTTCTTTAGATCTTGCAGCGCCCTCTGCATAAACTCAAAGGCATGACAGTCCACACACGGGCGACCTGGAAACAGCAGAAATGAGTTCAGAAACAAAGGCAGCGGCGTGAGATACCAAGTTAGTACAGAGCCAGTATCACCGATACTTCTAAATGCAAATGATGTAGGTGGGAGTAGCATGCCGTGATTTATGAGGTGAATGTATCACTGATACGATTAATGTGAATGCAATTCAATGACCTCTAAATGACTGTGAATCTTGCTTTTTTTCCACTTTTTCATTAACACAACAGAACACACACTCATGGTTTTTCACATTTTGAGCCTGGATTTTTTTTGTATGTGTGCATGACTGGAAAGCATCAAATTAGACTCCAATTTAATGCTGATTTGGTGTGTTCTTGTGGCTGCAGACGTAAACTATAAAGTGTATTGAGTAGAAGTAGAGAATCAGTGATCTGACCCAGAGTCATCATTTACAAAAAGGAACCATAAATCTTATTAATGAGACTGATTAGTCTGTAGCAGAAAGCGACTGACTGCTGTGCTTTGTCATCTTTGAATTGATCGTTTATTTGAAGAAACAAATATTTTAAACAAATATACAGAATTTAGCTTTGTGGAAGTGTTCATCTAGATTTTTTTTCTCATCTTCATCTAGATTTTTTTTCTCATCTAGCTTTTAATTTACAAACAACATAATCAAGCTTTTCTACCTGAGCATCCATGAAGTCACACTTATGTATATTTTCCTTCTAACCTGCTCGGTATGTGTGCCTTTAAGCAGCAGTGGAGGCCCAGTTTCATGATCCAAGCATACATTAATTAAGATGACCTACAATTCCCTCAACAGCACCCCTGTGAGACCTGCAGTCATTAGACTGTGGAAAGATCACCGTGGCGGACACATACTCGTCTAAAATATCTCAAAACTTGTACTCAACAGGCGGAGGAAAAAATTAATCTAATTTTTAAATCCACCTACTTTCGGCAGGGATGACAGTCCCCGTCTCATGATCCGCATCAGCTGCCCCGACACAGACGAGCTGCAGCGCCAGCAGCAGCACCACTGCCTGCACATACCCGCTGGATGCCATGGCGACGGTGCGATCCCTTACTCACCTCTGATCTGGAGAGTACAATTAGGCAAAATGTATAAATTAAAGGGCAGAAAATGTCCTACACGGCCGTCAGCCAATCAAATGAGGGGGGGGAAATGATGGGCTTTGTTCAGATAATGCTCCAGTTTCCAACCAGTAAATGTTTGTATGTGTTTAAAAGCTCAGCCCGCACAGAGTAATTACCGCTTATCTGACCACCTGCACGGTAACCTACCGTCAATCGGCCGATGATGGTTTGCAGATCGCCAGATGAGCGCAAGATGCCCACCGAGTACTGTTGTATGGAGATTAAATTAGTGCGCATGCGTGTTGGTTGGCTGAAATTTTCTCCAGGGGCCTCGAAAACGAGACTTCCGGTGACAGCACTTAAAAAAATAAAAGCCTTGATGGGCAGTTTACCCGTAGAGTTTATTGATGGGTAGGTCTTGCATTCATTAACAGGATAACAGAGAGAGAGAGCGAGAGAGCAATATTTACTTAAAAAGTCAATGTAAAAAGCAGTATAGTTATTATTATTAAAGATACCTTATCTGATTACCTACATTTTAGAGATCAATACTGCATTTTATTCCGTAAATTGAGTGCAATATATACATACATGCACAGTTTCAGCTATAATTCCAATATTTAAAATTGTGTATTTCCATTGACCTATTTTTACATTAATATAAATCAAATACAGCTACATTTTTATGATTTTCTTTTTAAAATAGGGTGCCCGATTTACAGCCACATTGAACAAAAGCACTAAACTGAAACAGTTAGTCTGTTACTGCAGCACACTGAATCTTCATGTTTTTGACATTTACATGTTTATAGTCTGGCATTAAATGAGGCGACTATACAGTGTAAAGATATAGATACATATCCAATTAATATCCCATGTAATAAGTAAGAGCAAATAATAATTGACTATATACTTGTAAACAGCACAAATTAGTGAAGCAAGCTCATTTAAGATGTCTTTGTGGATCTAGAGAAAGTATATATAAGGATGCCAGGAATAGCAGAGAAGTATGTGAGGGTGGTGCGAGACATGAATGATAAAAGAGTGGTGGGTGTGCAGTGAGTGACGGATGAGTTCAAGGTGGGAGTGGGATTACATGAGGGATGGACTCTGAGCCCCTTCTTGTTTGCAGTGGTGACAACTGGGCTGACAGATGAGTTCAGGCTGGAGTCTCTGTGGACTATGATGTTTGCAGATAACACTGTGATCCATGGAGAGAGTGTGGAGCAGGTGGAAGTACGCACAGGAGAGAAGAGGAATGAAATCAAGTAAAAGCAAGGCACAATACATGTGTGTGTGAATGAGAGGGAAACATGTGGAGAGGTGAACATTTACAGATATTGAAGGTGGATGAGTTTAAATACTTGGAGTCAACCACCTAAACCAAAAGACAAGTGCGCGAGAGGGGTGAAGAAGAGAATGCAGGCGTGGTGAATTGGGTGGAGACAAGTGTCAGGATAGCAGCAAGAGTGAATGAGAAAGTTTACAAGACGGTTGTGAGACCTGCTGCGATGTATGAACAGTGGCAATGACAAAAAGATGGACTCATGATGAAATGAATCCATCAAAGGGATGGCTCAGGTTCAGCACTTTGGATCTTTAGAGAAACAAGGTTGAGATGGTTTATACATGTGCAGAGGAGGGATAGTGGATATATTAGACAAAGGATGTTGAAGAGGAAAGCCCCAGAGAAGATTCGTGGATGTAGTGAGGGAGGGCTGGTGTGACAGGGGAAGATGTCAAGGATACGGTGGCAGGTGAACTGCTGTGGCGACTCCTAAAGGTCGCAGCCCGAAGAAAACACATTTTAAGATAAGAGGACATAATAATAATATACTTTATTCATCCTAGAGGTGGGAAAGTTTAGCACAGCAAACATATGACATCGATTAAATGGGTTGGATGTGCTGTGGTTTAACATAACAGGCTGCTTAAATGCAGTAAAAGCAGCATAGCAAATATCGGGGACCAATGAGAAGTGTGGCTGCCAGTAGTGTAGTAAACTGTGACAGGGCAGGGTTGAAATAACCTGTTACTATGACAATACAGATGTTTCTCTGCTCGGCAGATGTGTAGCACTGTATTACATGAGGTAACAAAGACTTCCCGCATCTGCCCTTGTTTACACCTTCCTTCTTAAAACTTTATTAACCACACACTGTGTACAGTTCCACACTTAAAGGTGGATTTCACCCGGTCTCCTCACGGCTCTGCGTTCACAATTGCCCCCCACCCCGGGTTATGGGCGGGGTCCTGACTGCTGTTTTCTTAGGTAGCCTGTTAAAATGCCCGAACTCAAAACACTTCTTTTTCCAAGATGGCGTCGATGAAGGACAGCGACACCGGCCTGTGGCTTCACAACAAACTAGGATCCACGGACGAGCTCTGGACGCCTCCGAGCATCGCTTCGCTCCTCACCGTGTCGGTTATCGACAACATACGGCTATGTTTTTCGAGCTTGTCGCCGCCGGTGAAGCTGAAACTCCTGCTCGGGATGCTGCACCTTCCGCGGAGGACCGTTGACGAGGTGGGTTAGCTCGGTGTTAGCCTGGAAGGTACGATAAGTTGTTACCTCGGATTCACGGCTGAGAAACGAGCCGATAATTGCGCTAGATTTTAAAAAGCACTGAGGTCCCTGTGACGGTTTAGTGGCATATTTAAAAGCCTAACAATATTAATAAACCTTTCCAGCTAACATTATGCTACCATATTTATCCGAAGGCTAACTGAAGAAGCGGCAAACTCGTTATTTCCTCGACATGCTCCCCATTTTTTCTTTTTTTAAACCCCGGCTTCAATGCACGAAACACTTTTACCCTCTAACGACAGGATGCTCCCGAGCTGACTTTACCCCTGCGCACATTTGTCTTTCCAGCGGTTGTTTACCGGCTACAGCGAGCAACGCTAGCCTAGCGGTGCTCGCACGGACATTGTGGTGGGATGGGCGGCTGAGAGCTGGCGTTAGGCTGGAGGGCGGTACTAGCTCCCGGACCTACTGATCACCTGTTCCCCCCGCAGGAAACGATACACAGCCGTCATTTGTGTGGCTTATATAGCCAGACTGTTCAATAACAAATGCAAAATTATTAAGCTAATTATAAATGGGGTTTCTTAAAACAAGCATTCAAGTGTGTTGTTTAAGTGAAATTGGCGGCTAAGCTCAGGAGTAATTTCCCGTATGCAAACCACGAAAGCTCTTGGCTGTTTTAATGCAAATATTTATTTTAATTAAGTGGTTTTGAAGGAGAGCAGCAAGTGTGAAAGGGAAGGTTTACTAGATGGTAGCGAGTCTTGCTATGATGAATGTTTTGGAACAGTGGCTCTGAAAAAAAGGAGACAAGACCGAGCTGAAAATGTTAATATTTAGATAGAAATGAAAAGAAATCAATTGAGTTCAAGGCTGAGATGGTTTGGACATGTGCAGAGGAGGGAGAGTGGATCTATTGGAGAAAGGATGTTGAAAATGGAGCTGCCAGACAGGAGGAAAAAGAAAACGCCTCAGAAGAGATTCATGGATGTAGTGAAGGAGGACATGTAGTAGGTGTGGAGGGAGAAAAAGGCGATGCTTCATAGACACAGGGCCACCAAATATTAATATTTTGTAGTTAAATGCCTTCAGCTCTTTTTAACCACCATCCTGAGATAACGTTAGCTGAGCAAACTTGCATTAAATTGGTTCAACTGTTCGAGAGCAAGCTACCTCCTTATAGCTTAAAAAGAACTGATGTCTGCCTGGTGATTGCATGCAACAGATTATAACTTGTGGTTGCTCACAGCTTGAGGATCTTGCACTTATGACCACTTTTGATCACAAGGAAATTGCACAAGTCCCCTGATAGGAGGCCACCTTTCTGCAGACAGTCACAATCGTGCTTGGACTGACTCCAGTCACTCTTAGAGACACTGATCAAGGCTTGCAAATAAGTGCTGTCTAGCTTATAAACACAGACAGATTGCCAACATGCTGCCATCAGTCTGAATGACTCTTCGTCAATGAGCGCAATGCTACTGGCTGCCAGCTGTTTGTAGGACACAACTGATAATGAAAGTTTAAATTTGAGGAAAAAGTGCTAAATCACAATATATTTTGACGCAATATTCACCATATTGAAAAATGATAAAAAATTATGATATTGCATCGTGGGGTGTCTGGTGATGCAGAGGGTTGGTGTGACAGAAGAGGATGTTAAGGCTAGGGTACATGACAATATAGCTCATGCTGCAAACAATATCTCTGTGGCATTGGCTGCTATGGCCATAAAAGGGGAGAAACTCATGGCGTGGTCCTCATGCCCCCCTGACCTCAACCCTATTGAGAACCTTAGAGCATCCTCAAGGAAAAGATCTATGAACTCAAGTTCAATGGATGCAAGAACTGCAAAGGTTCTATGAAAGAAGGGATCCCATGTTAACATGTAACTTGGTTTGTTAAGATGTTTTTGATTGAAACGGCTTTTGATTTCAGTAATGCTGCATATTGAGCAAATGACCAATTTTCAGTTCTTTACAACCAATAAAAGATTTTGAAACTGCATAATCATTTGGAACGGTGCATTTTGAGTTTACTTTTGCAAAAACATAGTTATCATTGTGAGGTTGCTCTAATGTGTGATGACTTGAATTATACTGACTGTCATTTGCATCGACTATGGAGGAAAGTCAGTGACAAATATCATTTGCAAAGTATTTTGGAACAGGGTTGATTTTGGCAACACTGAACCTATAAGTGCAGGGAGGTGGACAGACTCTATAGCCTTAACTCTGTCATGTGGATATTAACATAACTGCATTTTATGGTTGGTTGAAGCTGGCGTCCTCCTCGTGTTGCATGTTGGATGGCTTCCCTTTGATAAACATCACTGCACAAAATCAGGTTTCTTTGTATCCAGTTGTTAAAGTCTTGAAATCGCAGTTATGTGAATGTTTATTCATGCTGGATTTTCCAGAGATGGAGGAGGTGTGAATTTAAAAGATGGAAAAATGGAAAATACTCGGGGATAATAACTAGTATTCAGAATACTTTTATATTATTTCATTCACACTCTGAGGGTTTGATTAATCTGGACTTTTTTGTCTGTACAGGAGTGATTATTTATCTTACAATTTGTAAAGTGTCGGGGTGGTGTGTGTCAGGTGTGAACTTTTTTTAAAGGAAAAGTGTGTGTCTGAAAAGTTAAAGTGATTACACACACTCATATTCAAGCTGTCCGGGAGGATATGATGCAAGTTGTTTCTTCGTGTAAGCAACCGGTGTTTTCTGAACCATGAGTGCAGACCAAAAATAGATTCACAGACTCTGTTGTGTGCTGTTAACCTGTGGAACTAATGCTAAAGTAACTACAGTGACTGTAGGTTTCACTAACACCACCTTTCTTGCCAGATGAAGGAGGCCCTGTCGGAGATAATCCAGCTGGCTACGGTGGACTCAGAGCCCTGGGTGCTGATGGTTGCAGACATCCTCAAGTCCTTCCCAGAGACCGGCTCTCTTAATCTGGACTTGGAGGAGCAGAATCCAAATGTGCAGGATATTCTCGGAGAGCTCAGGGAGAAAGGTAGTTTTATATTAATTTGCATCATTTCCAGGTGAGCGCTGATGTCTTACACATTTAAATAAATGCAAATGCATAGCTACAGTGTCTTTGCTTTAACTATAGTCAGATGACTTGCGGAGCCATTCTGAGCCATGAAAACTACCCAGGTGGTTTCTGGTGTAGACGGATCTCATGTAGTACAGTGGTTTCCCCTCATGTTGTTTTATCTGTAAACTGGAAGGCAAGATGAGCACAAGCAAGACTCAAAAGGTTTAAAGTGGAAGCACTTCTGCTGTTTTTCCTGTGGCTGTATTTAGATTAGTGTTGATTGCAGAAACATAACTCCACACTTAGGCTTTTATTTAAATTGTCATGTTTTGATATTTTACTTAAATATTTACTTGTATTTCATTTAGATTTAGTTCCTTAATTTTATACTAATTTTAAGTTTTTACTACTTGAGCTCTATTTAACTTATGCGAGCTGTCTTATATGTTGAATTCAATTTTTTTCAGCAGTAACAAAGGGATAAAGTATCTGTTAATGAAAAACACTCGTCAGCTCAGTGAGCAGAGTCGTGTTTTGTAATGCTGACCAGCCACAGACAGAGGAGCACAGTGGTCAGTGCTGCAGTTAACATCCCCACCTTTCTCTTCCTCCTCAGTGAGCGAGTGCGAGGCGTCGGCCATGCTTCCTCTGGAGTGCCAGTACCTGAATAAAAGTGCATTGACTACTCTGGTGGGACCCCTCACACCTCCCGTCAAACATTTCCAGCTGAAGAGGAAGCCCAAGAGTGCAACCCTGAGAGCAGAGCTGCTGCAGAAATGTAAGTTCATTTAATAATGGCCAATACACACCACGTCCCACAGCTATGGGGGGGAGAGACCGTGGGGTGGGGTAAAAGATGTGCATTTGTGTTCATTTTACTGTGCCTGACAGATTGTCAGTGTCTGGTGTTCTTCAAGAATTGATTGTCCAACTTAACACGTTTTAAACCCATTTGTTTTATAGCTACAGAGACAGCCCAGCAGCTGAAGAAGACAGCCGGAGTGCCTTTTCATGCCAAAGGGAGAGGATTGGTCAAAAAGATTGACACCACAAGTAAGTAAAAAAAAAAAAAAAAAAAAAGTCCTACTAAAAAAAGATTTAAATTATTTCACTGCATCCACGTTTGCATTACAGCTCCTCTCAAGGGGATTCCCAAAGCCCCATTCCGCAGCCCCACCACCCCCAGTATGTTCAGCCCTCCCAGTAACCGCACACCTATTGCTCCCGCACGGACGCCCCTGCGTAAGGAGCGGGGGGTCAAGGTAAGTCGTACCCAGTGTATCGTTTTTCTTACGGCTTTCATTCTTTCATCCTTGTTCTTCGCTTTCATTGAGCTCCTGCAGGATTGGAGTGACAGAGGGTTTTTTTTCTCCTATTGTTCAGCTGTTAGATATTTCAGAGCTGGATATGGTTGGAGCTGGAAGAGAAGCTAAGAGGAGGCGAAAGACTTTGGGTAAGTAAATTTACAGCCTTAGTTAGATTTTCTTGAGCAATAAAGTGTGACACTGTCGATGTTTAACCTGTGCTTCTTTTTATGATATAGAAACCGAGGCTGGAGAGAAAGCAGCCAAAGAAGAAGCTGTGGTGGAAAACACCACACCCGACTACGCTGCTGGCCTCGTCTCCGCACAGGTATTTAACCCAACGTATATCTACTGTTCTCTGTCACACCAGCCCGTTTGCCTCTCTGCCATCGTAGGTTCACTCCTTTGTGTCGTTTCTCAGAAACTGGGGTCGCTGAACGAGAATCCTCTCCCGTCAACCAGCTACCTACCAGCCACACCCAGCATGGTTCCCTCCTCGTCTTACATTCCCAGCTCCGAGGCACAGCCAGGTTAGCCGCCTACCTCCCAGGGCTCAGCGCTTTCTCCCTCAAACAAATAAAGTAAAATTCCCTGCTCATGCGTTTCCTTCATGTCCTCCTCCTCCAAAGCCAATGCTGGTGGTTCGGGACGGGACACGCTGCAGGCGGCCCGTCAGCCAGAGGAGTCGGCGACAGCGACCACAGGTGCCAACGCCACCTTACCGGGCCAGTACAAGCAGAGGCCGCCTATGTACAACGCGGGAACCACAGCAAACCCTGCAACTCCCACATCCCCCAGCACACCGGTATCCACCCCCGCCAGCAATGGACCACCAGCAGCTGCGACAGCCAGCCAGCCAGAGACCCCCACTCAGCCTCCCAGCACACCTCAGACCCCCACCCCGACAGCAGCCCCTACGCCACCACAGCCACAGCCCAAAAAGAACCTCTCACTTACGGTAAATAAACACCATTTCAAGACTTTCAAAGTCAGAGGATATTAAAACGTCAGCTAAATTATCTGTCTCCACTGTTTCCGACCGTCAGAGAGACCAGATGTACGCCGCCCAGGAGATGTTCAAGACCGCCAACAAGGTCACGAGGCCGGAGAAGGCCCTCATCCTGGGCTTCATGGCTGGATCCAGAGGTATGAGAGTTTTTAGCTGCTTGATGCAAATATAAAAAACAACAGCTTTTTCATAAATGCACATTACTTCCTGACAGAGCCTGTATCCAAAAGTACAGATTATTTATCTAGTTTACCATTTTACCAGTTGTATTTCCTGTCAGACCCGTTTTCATTCACTTCACCCTTTTTTCCCTTTGCAAATTAGCTTTAACACAATGTGACTTTGGTCACTAGCAGATTGCTGCAGATGCATGTTTGGATGGAAGATGGAAACTTGTCTGCAAACTCTCAAAGTGCAGTAAAACTTGGAGATTGTGCACCTTTTAAATAAAAGTTAAACCTGTTGTAGCAGTGAGGCACATCTTCTACTATGAATGTGTTTGAACAGTCTCAATTTCCAGTTTGCGTTGAATTCACCCAGCACCTGCCAGCAACATTTTTCCCAACGCATGAAGGTCAATAAGGTCACTGACTGGTCTCAAGGCCTGTGTAAATCTGAATTCCCTGTAGTCATTCAGAGTTTCCCCACATTTGCTGCAGGATTTTTACAGAATATGTTTCAGTTTAAATGCAGTTTTAACTACAGTAGATGTCCCTCATAATTTCTCAGCATTTATGCACATCTGACAGGGCAAAAACTTAACCAGCCTACCACTCTAACTCCACCCTTCCCTACCCCCCACCCATTCCCTGCAGAGAACCCATGCCCGGAGCAGGGGGACATCATCCAGATCAAGCTGAGCGAGCACACAGAGGTTTTGCCCAAAGCCGACGGCACTGGCAGCACCACCATGCTGGTAGACACAGTCTTCGAAATGAACTACTCCACAGGACAGTGGACCCGCCTCAAGAAATACAAACCCATCACCAACACCTCCTGAGGCGATGCGCTCGCTCAGGAATCCCCACTTCAGACGTGTTTACGCACAGTTACAAAGTATTTGCATACACATTTGGGCCAAATCGAGCACGGGGAGGGTGAAAGATTGTCAAGGAGAGAAAGGTTCTCCCTTTTGCTGCACCTCCAAAATGTGGGACTCTTTGAAGACTTGTTTTTTTGGGGGGTTGTTTCCCTTACCCTTTTATTGTTTTTATGTCACTTCCGATTTCTGAATGATGCTGTTGACAGGAGAGAGATACGAGTTATTCTCACGGCAGGCACCTTTGAACATTTGTACTGAGGTACAAGCATGTCACGTGTTTAGAAAGACGACGAGCCGTCTGTATTTTTCTGTGCAAATGTGACGTTTGCAGCTTATTCTTCTACATTTCAGAACCAAACCATGTTTTGTGATGACACAGAAATTAACGAAGACGGTCATTGTAAAGATGAGATGAAATAAAGAAAAAGAACTAGTTCTTAATGCTGTCCACTTCTGTTTTGGAGCCTTCTGGTAGATGTTTAATAATTTTTCATCCTTTTATTCCAAAAGAAGGGAAGAAAATAAAATGACAGACTCCAGCAGGTGTCTCTCTTTCTTACTCACTTTGACCAGTGGGGGTTTATTATGCGTTTAACTTATATTACACCTTTAAACACATGCTTATTAAGATATCTCCAATGAGACGGTGTGTGTCTCCAGTGTGGTTTTGTTTCAACATTTAATCTGCGTCCTTCCTGTGTCTGACTTCCTGCCCTGCTCATGAGTACCTTGATGTGGCTTCAGTCAACAATAGAGTTAATTTACCAACACGGGGCAGAGATCTGCATTTGAAACAAGTATAGTTGTCTTTGTGTGTGGCATGAGCATTTCTCAAAGTCTTAGCACAGCATGAATTAGGCAGCATGTGTCCTTCCACCTCAAAACGCAGATCATAACCTGGACCTAAAAACACCTGCCAACCAGTCCAAGCTTAAAAGTGATGCTGGAGAAAGCCTGAGAGAGGAACTGACCACGACTTTAAACTGCTTCAGAATAGTGTGAATGCACTTTTTTTTATTAAATATGTGAGCACAGGTCACCACATAGGGATCAATATCCCATAAGTGATCTAATACACCAAGAGCAAAATGTTTCTGTAAATCTTGTTGCAGTGAAATGAAAATATGAAATCCGTTCACTTTCATTGTTTTTAATTAACCAACTTAATTGTTTACTGATTGTGATTCATGTCTTGAACTTGACAGAGATACTGTATTAAAAGGCCAATTGCTGTCCTGTCCTGAGCCTGATTCAGCTCCAGGTTTATTCAAGTTAAAAGTGGGTTTTTTCCTCCCTGTTGCCAAGTTCTTAAACAGCTGTTAGCCAGTGTGTGTTGCACCCTTGCTAATAAATCGTAAGTAACGGACTAAATGACGAGAATTTCACCCAGAAAATTTTAAATCCTGTTTTATGGGATTGTCTATGTCAGTCATGTTGTTTAGTTAATTGCTGATCATTGTGCTCTGAATACAGTTATCCAGGTGGACGAGCTATTTAAAAAAAAATTCAGCTGACGTGTTGCCCATTGGTCCTTACACATTTGGCCTTCTGGCCTGTGTGTTGCGCATAACAATCACCTTGAATTCTTCATTGGAATAAGTCAAACAGGGTTTTTAAAAGAAAACCAGCTGTAATATGAAACAATACTTTTTTATTAATTAAAATGAGTTGCAACATAAAGCATGCGCCTCAGTCACTGCACTGATCTGCAACATTCATGTCATCATTAAATTAAGGCCGTTTTCCTCTACCGATGTCAGATAAGTATTCCTTCATAATCTCTATTCCACTGGTGCCTGCTATTCTGTTATTGGACCATCTAATGTCATCTCTATGAAGCACTTTGGTTAACACTTTATTTCCAGTGTTTAATGCATGATCATGTCTAGCCCGTACCCGATTGTCAGCTCTGTCCGTTTGCCTCTGTAGTTGCGGCACAAATCATTATTTAATGTATTCAGGAGACTTCTGCTCAGGTTCACGCTGAGTGTTTGCAGAGGTCCAATCAGTTAGAGCGACAGTAACAACCTGGGTGGCTGCGAGTGTGAACATAAACAATCAAAAATGACCTTTTGAAAGTCAAAACAGTAACAATGTGTGTCTGCACGTACATGAGTGAAGCAGGTGGAAAAACCAGGGAAGTCTAACAGTGCGAGGCTTGTCTACACAAACACCCTGTCCTATGTCATACAGTGAATGCTCAGAGAGCTGATAGCCTTTCAGTTTGTTAAAGCTCAGGTTCATGGCAGTCTGTGAAAAGAGTAGATGACAAAATCATGACTGAATTCTTATTAGTGCAAAATCTTTCCTACTAAAACATTCAAAGCAACGACTCTAGCTCTCTCTGTGTACTACATCAGGCAGTACCGCTACCTCAGCCAAACCACACCTGCTCTGCAGCCTTGGTGATGACTGCTACTGTGTGAGCGTGTGCTTTTAGTTTGCTCCGGGGTCCTTCCAGCCTCCGAACGTCTTCTCCAGGTGGAGGGCCACAGCGAGGGTGAGGTGGTCCTGCAGCTTCCCTGCAACGACCTGCACGCCCAGAGGCAGACCCTCCTCACCCACACCCAGAGGGCACTGAGTCACCGGCAACCCCAGCATGTTAATTATACCTGTGTATGGAGGGGGGAAAAAATAAAATAAAATAAAAAATAAAAAGCAAAATGTCTTAATACGTGGAATAAATCTTTTTAACAGCCATAATCCAGAAATAGCAACTTCGAAAATGACTGTCAGACATAAGATAAATCACAGTTTCCAGGATGTAAAAAGGTTTTGAAGTCTCCCACAGTTTTTTTTCAACTGAGCTTTAACCTCCTAAGACCCGAACTCTTCCACGACATGCATTTTTAATTTCTCTTTGATATTTGGTCATATTGGGGCCCGATGAATGTAAAAACAAAGAATTACCAGATTTTTTTTTTCAACCTTATTTTTGTTTTTAAGAAAAATAAGAGCCACATGAGGATATTAGTTTACAACTTTGATAGAACAGTAGTAGTATAATGTCCTCATAAGTGGAAATCAGGCCCATGTAGAGCAAAATTGAGTATTTTAGTCTAAATAACCCAAAATGTGATGTCGACATATGTGGACGCCAGGTCCTAGGAGGTTAAAGGTTATTTTGCAAAGTGATGTGACTGAAAAGCACAAAGGATAACCTGCACACAGACTGCAAAAGTCCAGGTGCAAAAAACAAAACAAAACTGACCACCAAAGAGCTTTGTGTATTCCTCACTAGTACTGGTTTGGATCCTCTTGTGCCTTCAGACGTGCTTTAATTCTTCATGGCACAGATTCAACAAACATCACACAGCTGCTGCACATCCATGATGCGAGTCTCCCGTTCCAAAAAAAATGCAAAGTTGCTCTACTGGTGAGTAGAGGCCATGTGAGTACAGGGAACTCACTGTTACGGTCAAAAAACAAGTCTGAGAAGATCTGTGCTTTGTGACATGGTGCACGGTGGTCATAAAGGGACATGATCAGCAACAATACTCAGGCAGGCTGTGGGGTTTAAAATCAGCTGATACTGAGGGGCCCAAAGTTATTCAAATTACTGCCAACCCATCAATTTGAAGCAGCATTCTGCTTTGAGAGTGAAACATTTTCTCCCATTTTCAGACCTTTCTTTGTAAATGATTGTGTGGGAAAGTCCCAGCAGATCAGCGGTTTCTGGATTTTAATGGCTGTGATATTAATCGTGATGTTGCTGTGCAGATGTTGGCTGTTAAAATAAGATCAGGTGAGAAGTGGAACGCCACTGACCGGTGTATGAGAAGTCGAAGGGTCTTAGGAGCGGGTGGTGGTGTTTGGGGGCCACTTTGGGGTGAGAGGGGTAAAGGAAAACACCGTCAGCACCCAACAGCTCATCCACCTGCTTCTGCAGCTTCTCCTTCATCTGGATGATGGAGGACGGTGTTTTGGACATGCGAGTCATCTCGATCAGGCCCACAGCTGAAGACGTCGGTTCACAGAAACTTTAAATGCTATTTATTCATTTATTGCTTAATCATTTTTATATATAACAGTGTTTTGTTTTTAAATTGAGAGCTACTATTGAACACTTTGGAAGTCTGTATTGCAGCCTTTACCGATAGCAGCGAGGGTGTGGTCTGATCTTCCTATCATCCACTTCAGCAGCTCCCACAGAGGCCAAGCTGGTCGTCCTGGTTCTCCCATCAACTCAGCAAACATCTGAGGAGGCTGGGAGAAAAACAAACAAAACAAAAACAATTCAGTTCTTTTAAAGGTCATAGGAAGGACACAGACTGTATTACTTCTCCATGTTCTTTATTGCTTCCTTTCAACCATGGTTGCTATTTTCTGCTGACAGACTGTCCAAGTTGTCATCATTATCGTGCCAGTAACCTGCACCTGTGTGGCATCACTACACCAGGCTCAGGTTTAAAGTTAGTAATGATTTATTAGTCATTGAGCACCTGAAAGCAGCAGAAGCCCACAGGCCACAAAAATGTTCCCGTCATGAAACCACTTCAGTCAAATATCACAAAAATGGATGTCAGGGGTAGAGAGTAGAGTAGAGTGGCTGTGTCACTAATCTTTTTTGAGTGACAGCTCTAAAATCTTTTTGGGATCCCTGCACTGCAGTGATGCCACTCTACTGCCCACTTTGTAAAGACGAGTACACTGGTCCCTCGTTTATTGCGGGAGTTACGTTCTAAAAATAACCCCCGATAGGTAAAATCCGCGAAGTAGCAAACTTTATTTTTTACAATTATTATAAATGTTTTAAGTCTGTAAAACCCGCCACTACACACTTTATACACTTTTCTCAGACAGGCATGAACATTTTCACACTTTTCTCTCTTGTTTAAACACTAAGTTCAAACCTTTGTAGAAAAATAAGTCCAGTATTATAGAATGAAACCAAAGGCACCTGTAGTTGCCTTTGACGGTGCAAAACGTTTCATCGACATGTGTTGTGTTTGTTGGGGAGAAAACTTACAAACATATAGTGCAGCACTTCAGAGTCACACTGCTAGAGATCGAAGATTTATGTAAATTTGACAAGCTGAACGCACTCTGTACTGGACAGGAGACACGACACGAGATTGACTGACAATGGTCAACAGCCAATCAGGACACAGAACAATACGCAGTAAAAAAAAACAAAAACAAACAAACAAACTAACAAACAAACAACAACAGCGAAACAGCGAGGCCACAAAAGGTGAACCGTGTTATAGCGAGGGAGCACTGTATAACCCAACAGGTGGGTGTGAAATGATTCACGGGTCAAGGAAAGAAGAAAAATAGTACAGCCACATAAATTTTGGGTTTTGGTTGCGAAGTTCACCTCACTGGTTCTTATGTGATTCAAAATACAGACAAGATACAAATCTGATCTGAGAAAAAGTGCAGAAACTTAATTTTTGGAAATATGCAGAAACAACAAAGACTGGAAACCAGTGTTTCAATACTTAACTCCTATACTGGGCATTTTGATTTAGCTCTCTTTAACTTGGTACATTTAGATGCCTGAATGATATAGATTTGGTTTAAAGAATACCTAGTTTACCCATATTTTTGTTCTTGGACTCTACCACAACCCTTTTATGCTACAGTACTTGGAGACCAGAGCAAATCAAAAATTACTGCAACCATGTCCACTGAAGTTGCAGTGTTGCCTTTGAAAGTGTTGCTTCAAAGACTGGGACCGGATCTGTGATCACTCATCAGCTGGTGTCTTCAATTCAATCTGTGTAGCAATATGTCAACTAACTGTGATAAATCAGAAGGAATTGCAAATCTGTTCCTCTCTAAATACAAACAAGTACCTCCATTGATATTTGATGTAGTTGATACAGGACGGTGATTTAACTTCAATACAGCAACCTTGCTTTTATATAAGAATAAAACTAGAATACAACCAACTGAGTTGAGTCTCATATTACAAAGAGACAGATTAAAGACGAGGCTCAACCTCTGGATGATCAGATGATCGCTGCAACTACATGCAATCAATCACTGAATGCTCTTATACTGTGCCTGAGAAGACCACATAAGGACATCCCCTTACATCACACAGAGCCAATAAAAGAAGAAACTCTATGGCCATGTTCAGTATGAGCATCTAGCACTGTGACAGTATAAGACATAAAATAAGGAAAAGCATAGTAGGTTCACTTTAAATCAAACTGGTGTTCTGCATTAAAGTAGAAAGTAGCAGTAAACTGACTGTGACTAACTCACAGCCTGGTAACAGAAACGTTTCAGATTA